AGCAGGCCGCTTGTACGATAAATATTACAACACATTGAAGAGATTGAGGAAATCCGGTGAATTAGTGGACCCAGAAAGTTCAACTCCTGAGTCATCACCGACAGAAGAATATACATTTACTTTCGAGGATGAAAAATATAACGCCACCACAATAGCTTTTGTTTTGTAATTATTTCATATTTTTTTATGCAGCTGCCTATGACTGGCTCAAACTTTTTGATTCGCCGTGGAGCACAGTTGAATCAAATTGGAAAAAAACCTTCAAAATCAGACGACAAGAAATTTTGAACTCAAGTGGTAGCACATCAGCGAAAACTTTACGGGCCTGGAAACTTTTTTCCCATTCATGTGGATACAATCTGGTAAATGGATTTCTTAGTTTTACGTTTAAACTTGTCAGAATTGGTTGACTAGTTTGAATTTACAATCAAATGGGTCATATTAATAAAAAAAAATGATTTTTCTCAAATTTGACATCAATTTGTATGAAAAAACTTTCAAAATTTGAGAAAATATTTCGAAAAAGCATTTTCTTTTTTATTAAATGACCCAATAAATACAAAAACTTCCTCTTGAAATACTATCATATATGAAAGTAATGCGTCATATTAATAAAAAAAGCAATTGCTTTTTCAAAACCTTTCCTCAAATTTTGAAAGTTTCTTTATACAAATTGATGTCAAATTTGTGAAAATTTGAGAAAAAACAAAAACCTTTTTTTAATCATATGACCCAATATTTAAAGGCACGGCTGCAAACCGGTTCTGAATCGGGTTTTGAACCGAACCACTGCTGTGAAACCCAATCAACTTTCATATAATAATAGAAAAATTTCCCTGAATTTTCCTTTTTTTGCTTAGAGGGTGTTGATCAATTTCTTCCATAAAATACAAAAAAATAAATATATACATTTTGCATTTCTCTTTCAAAAAAAATCGGAAAACTTAGAAAAATGTTTGAGCTAGCTCCAACCTTCACAATATTATTCTTTAGTCGGTTGGCTGTAAAAATGGTCGCTACAGAATTTAAAACTCAAAATTTAATAATGCTTTCCTTTATTGCAGATTGATATTGACTTCAATGCTCTACATCAGAATTGCTCACAGCTAACAGAGAAATGGCAAGGTTTTAGAACAAAAATTATACCAATTTTGAATAAGAGGGTAAAGGATATTCAAAATCTTCAGCACTTGAAAAAAGTTAATGAGATTGATAAAGGTTTGTTAACATTGGTAATAATAAGATTAAATGATTTTTATAATAAATATACTTTTATTAAAGGTTCAGATCAACTTATAGCATTGTTACTGCACGTTGTACTACGACCTAATATAAATCGGAAGGCAGGTGACAAAACGATTTTTAGAAATACTATCAAAGATTCTCAGCTCTCGTTTTTACTACAAGTTAGTACTGTGAACGATGTCGAAAATAAATTGGATAATCTGAAAAAATCACTCTATGCACGCGGTGAGACATTGCAACCACTAATTATCGGAATTGGCAGTGATTTAAGTAATTGCAAATTTTATGTTTACTATGACGACATTAAGTATGAGCTTCCTTCATTTTTAAGCGCTTTAGACATATGTTTTAAGACTTTCCATGTATTACATTTAAAATATCCACAGGATAGCATTGAGTTTTGGACGTTTGTCCAAAGATATTTTTATTCCATTGAATTGACTGAAGATAAAACTTCTTCAAATGTCCTTTGTTTGCTGAGGGACTTAATTTAATTTATTAAGTATAGATACGTAGTCACATAAATCTTAACACCTTAAATATTCAATAATTATTATTAAATATTATATATGTAATAGTTATTATTTTTTTGTTTAAAATGGTTTTGTGTTTTGTATGCAACAACAATTTTGAAGATGTTGATATACTCGTAAATCATCTAAAAAATTTTCACAATTTAACATCATCTAGTACTTTTTACTGTCTACATTGCTGTCATTATTATCAGTGCTTGCGAACTTTTAAAAGCCACTTTAAGAAAGCGAAATCATGCATTTCTAATATAATTCCAAATGTTCAGAGTCTTAGTGAATTCGAAAATAATAATTTTCCACCACAATTAAACCAACGGCAATGTAATCAAGAACGTCAAGAAATATACGAATTTTCTCATGCTGAGTTCGAAAATATTGCGCTACTATTTTTGAGTAAATTGCACAGTCAATCAAATTTCGCTCGATCTGATGCAGAACGACTAATTGATGATATAACAAATGATTTGCTTTTGCCAATAGCACACTTTTTAGAAAATATTATATTCGATTTTGCAGAACAAGAAAAAGTCCAACTCAGAAACTTAGTTTCGTTTTTAAGAGATCCCTTTTCAAAATGTAAAACATTTTACAAATTTTTAAAGGAACTCAAAATGAGAAAGTGCTTTGAAGACCCACAAGAATTCGACATTGATAATAGAATTGCGCCCGTAGTTCATCACCATGCAATTTCGTTAACAGAGCAACACAGTAAGGGTGTACTAATGCCATTACGATTTCAAATTAAACATTTCTTCGAACTTCCTAATGTATTAAAAGATACTTTGGAAAATACACAGAAATTCCTTGCAAATGATAATGAATTAAAAAACATTGTTAATGGAAAATTATGGAAATCTAAAATGAGTTTATTCAGCGATAAAACAGCAATTCCTTACGTTATTTATTTTGACGATTCTGAAATTAATAATCCTTTGGGTTCCCACAGAGGGACACAATCAATAGCTGCTTTTTATTACAGTTTCCCTACTTTGCCGCAGCACTACCAATCGCGACTAGAAAATATATTCCCTGCTCTTTTCTTCAGAAGTAAACATAAACAGTTTGGAAATGACGCATCATTGAAATTACTGGTAGAAAAAATTAAAAGTCTTGAAGAAGAGGGAATTGACATTAGCTTTGATAATACAACCAAAAAAATTTATTTTGTACTAGCACTAGTTGTGGGTGATAACTTAGGTTTAAATAGTATTCTCGGCTACACTAAAAGCTTTTCATCTAATTACTTTTGTCGATATTGTTTATGCAATAAAGAAGAAACTTCGTACATGGTCGAGGAAATAGAGAGCAAACTTCGGAATGAGTTAAACTATACAGAAAACCTTGCTACAGAAGATATACCAGAGAAGCGAATAATGTTAACTGGTATATCTGAGAATTCCATTTTCAATGACATTAATTCATTTCATGTGGTAAATAATCTTACCGGCGATATTATGCATGATATTTTTGAAGGTGTTTGCCGATATGACGTTTCGAAAATATTACTCCATTTTATTGAATCCGAAAAATTGTTTACAATTGAAATTTTAAATGATCGAAAAAATCAATTTCAATACGGTGAAATTGAGTTAAGTAATAGATCTCCAGAAATTCAAATACCACATTTGAAATGTCAAAAACTTAATATGTCAGCACGAGAAATGTGGACATTTTGCCATTTTCTTCCAATAATAATTGGGGATTTAATACCACTACACAATAAACATTGGAAACTTTTTTGTACATTAATTGAAATTATAGACGAGATTTTAAAAACAGAGTTCGACGATGAGTCCCTTAATAAAGTAAAGTTAAAAATTAAGAACCATCACACGATTTACGTACACCTATTTGGCCCGACGTTAAAACCGAAATTTCACTTTCTACTTCATTACGCTACAATCATAAAAAATGTAGGACCTCTTAAGCATGTATGGTGTTTTAGGTTCGAGTCCAAGCATAGAGAGATTAAATCGTATACCAATTGTATTACCTCTAGAAGGAATGCACCTTTGTCAATCGCTGTTAAATGTATGATAAAGTTTTCAAATCGGTTACTTTTGAATAAAGGATTAGAAGAAACTTATTTTTCGAAAACCAATCTAAAGAAAAATTTAAAAACAGATATTACAGTAAAAAAGTAAATATAAGTTCTTTTGAATGCGAAATATTAATAAATGAAAGCTACAATTTTATAACAAAAGTGGAAATAAAAGGTACTACTTATAAAATTGGATATTTCCTGATGTCAAAATCTTTGAAATTATTTGAAATCAAAGACATTATTGTACTTGAAAACAACAAAGTAATTTTCGTATGTGTTGAACACACAATTGCAATGTTTTCAGACCATTTTCAGTCATTTCCAATTATAAAAAGTACAGACCAATTTTATCTATTGGACTTTTCTGAATTATATTATTCACCTCTTAATACAACTCTTTCCCCTAATGGAATTACGTATATTCGTCCAAAGTTTTTTTGAAACTATACATGTATAAATTTTATATATATTTATATCTTTGTCTTAATTTACAATAGTAAAACACATAAAAATATGTACTTATTAAATTAAAAGTAATAAATAATAATAAATTTATTTAAAATCAATGTTTTTTTTAATCACTTCTTTTTATTTTAGCAAAGTAACTATTAAAATGGTAAGTGGACAACTTTTGGAGGTAAAAAAATAGTAGTTTTACTATTTTTATAGTACAAAAACTATTTTCCATAGTAAACTAACTATTTTTCATGGTAATAAAACTATTTTCATGGTAAAGTAACTATTTTTAATGGTAAAAAAAACAATTTTTCGTGGTACACGAACTATTTTTCATGGTTAAAAAGAATTTTTTGTGGTACACGAACTATTTTCGTGGTACACGAACTATTTTCGATGGTAAGCTAACTATTTTTAATGGTACCCGAACTATTTTCACGAACTTTCATAATAACAATTTTTTGTCGGTTTGCTTTACAATTTTTTTCGGTCACTGCAATTTTAATCGTCTTTTTCGGTTAGATTTACCTCTCTTTTTCTTTGTGTGCACAAAAGCACATTTGTAAGCGTTAGTGAAAACGGTAGATACCCCATTTTGTGCACCTCAGTTTTCCAGTCCGAAATACCAGAAGTAAAAAGAAACCTGAATGAGGTCACAAGCCTCCTCCCTGGTGGCGGTTTCAAAAGTTGATCATCATTTGAGAAAACTAGTTCCATAGCGGCGCGGTATAGTTGTTATGTGAAACGATAGTCATACGACCTGGCATTATGAGATGAAAGTTTATAGCCAGATCACTAACATTTTCACTTAAATTGCTGATGACACCGGTAGTTAGCTTTCCAAATTTTTGAAATCATTCGAACTATTATACGCAAGATCTATATCCCTTTCCGCATGGGCGACGAGTACCGAAGAAGGTGGAATGACGAACTGTATGAGCTATTTTCCTTCGACTCGGCACCCATGGTTGGACAACGACAAAAAGGGCGCCCAAGAATACCATGGAAAGACCAAGTGCAGAAGGACCTGTCCGCACTGTTAATGAACAACTGGCGCAAATCCGCAAAGGAGAGAGGAAACTGGCGAAGTTGTAGTGCAATAATAAGAAGAAGAATAATAACTATCAAATAAACTGAAGAGTAGTAAATAGTACAGTTTATTAGCGAAATTCATATTAGAAAATTCGATCTGTTTATGCGGCTATAAGACCATTGATTTTTTAAATAGACCCCGAATTTTGCGAATCTCCACACTGCATTCGTTAAAAAGGGGGAATCATCAAAAGGAAAGATGTTAAATTGCAATACATACATACAACTCGCTTAGACCAGCTTCATAGGTTATCGCTTTTCAGCACAAAGATATTACTTGTGCATGCCATATTTTGTACATATGAGTACTTCAAGACATACATATATACATACATACATTCCACGAGCAAGAAAAAAAGCAAATCATAAATCTCAAAAGCAAGTAACTCGTGAAATTGCTGGTACTTAACAAGCAAATTAGTTATGACGACAGTGAAGTTAGGGAGATAACTTAAACATTAACTGTATGCAAACAACAACATAATATGTATGTATGTACATTAGGGCGGGTCGAAAATCTAATTTTTCTCAAAGCCCTTGGTAATAGTGAAAATATATTGTATCATGAAGTCAACAACAAGCCTGCGAAATATTAGTCTTTCATTTTAATTGTAAGAGCCCGCGCATCGACCGCCAAGTGACCCACAGCACACTAGTCGAATAAGACCAATTCTTGTTAAAAATTCTGGGTTTAGCCAAAAATGTTGGTGCATATTATTAGATAATGAATCCTTTAACGCAAAAGATAAAGACAAGTATCATTTCGCGCAGCCCTTTATCTTATCGTTAATCTCAAACTCATCTATTTTCAGGAAAATTTTGATTGTGCCTATAGTCAACAGATGTAAAGAACAACATTAATATTGCTGGCGTGCATTTAGATCGCTAGTTCGAAATATTCTTATCCTTTTTTAATATTAGCTATAGTTTGCGAATTTTTGCAAATTTAGGAACAATATCGGTAGCTCTAATAGAATAGCCATTATTTTCCATCATCGCGGAAA